TGCCAGAGACTAATTATGATGGGACACTGTGTCACAGCATCCAGTACAGATCAGGAGAGAAGCGGTACATGCTCGTTGGACCCAGAATGAGTATAGGATCTACTATAGTACCTGGAAGTCACGCAAATACTCTCGTGCTTCCTGACAGGAGGCGTCCTTCTGAAGAGGTAAGAACATATCTTGATTTAAATTGAAGGTAGTTTTGCTTGTAAAGATTATAAAGATGAAACTTCCTTCTACCAGAATCATTTTCATTTTAAACATATAATATGATTAGTGTTTAGAACATGGAAGAAATGTGCTCAATCTTTTTGATTTGTATTTTTATTTTTTTGGAACCGAATTAGAAAGTATTTTAGTTACTACCTCTAAAAGTTGTCTCGCGAGGCTACCCATTATCATAACTAGTAGCACAAATTTTTGGAACATAAATTGTTAATAAGGCGGAAATTGCTTCATAAAAAAACCACAATAAATAAGAAAGATGACCCATATATCGGGAAACTATGGGCGAAACAGCGGTATTCTCAAGCGCTGTCCGTGGTTCTGAAAAGAGATCACGTTTAGTCAGCTAGTGGTGGTGTTCAAGTTCAAATCTGATGGTTTCACCTTAATTCATTTGCACTGTGAAAGTGATTAACACAGCCCTTACATTTACTTGAGTCATGCTATCTTTTATTTTCATCCAGTCTGAATGTATTTTTTTCTAAGTCACATTTTTGTTAAGAAAACAGAGTGCGCATTCGGCAACTACGGCGTTACTAAACAATAATGCCACAATAACAAATAGAGTTCTCTGTTGCAGTTAGCCCTGCATGATATATTAGTCTGTTTACTAAATGTCACAAAAATACTAAGATAAACAAAAAGGGCTCCAGAAACTGCTAAAGTACTCCATCATTTGAACATAATGCTGTACAAATAACAAAGAAACAGCAAACAAAAAAATGTTCAGTAAGAAAGACTGTTAATTTTTAGTGAGCAGACTACATGTTGGAAACATATTTGTGTAACACATGTAGCTGATTGCTTTAACAATGAGTAACAAGATGTTCAGTCCACAAGGTGTCAGTGTCATATCTGCATCAAACTAATATGTTACAACAGTGGCCCTGCCCCTTCCATAGAGGTTTTGTTCTGGTTGCCAGAAAGGAGACGGTATCGTCCAGAGAAACAAGGGTAGCCGTGATTTTTCCATGAATACGAGGGAAAATGGGAAGCATTTCAGACGGGATATTTTGTGATTTATTCTAACTTCTTAACGATAAATACCTGTGGGTAGATACAGTATTTGTTATCTAACACGATGGAGGCAGGAGGACAAAGACGAGGAACGCAGTGCTGGTGGTTTTCTATCAGCTTTTCTCTGATGCTCAGCTGTGTGGAGCGGGTTTCAGCTCAGATAAAATATTCGATTCCAGAGGAAGTAAAGGTAGGAAGTGTTGTTGGGAATGTGGCAAAGGATCTGGGACTGGATATCAGTTCACTGGAGGAACGACGGTTTCGTATT